CAGAAATTAAAGAAAATATAAATAGAGAGATATACAATATTTGTGGGTAGACTCAACATTAAGATGTCAATTCTGCCCATATTGATCTATAGATTCAATACACTGTCACTCATAATCTCAATAGGATTCATTTTTAGAAGTTGACAAGCTGATCCTAAAATTTATATAGAACCTAGAATATTCAAAGTGACTCTGAAAAAGAACAATGTTGGAGGTCTTAAATCAACTGATTTCAAAACTTACAATAAAACCAGAGTAAGCAAAACAGCACAATCGTATCATAAAGACAGATAAACAGGTCAAAAGAATGGAATAGATCAGACGAGATTGGGAGTATTCAGGGTGGTATGGCTGCAGACCAGAGGAACAGAACAGAATTCAAAAATAAACTCATGCTTATTAGGTCATTTGATTTTTGATAAAGGCACCAAATCAGTCAAATGAGTAAAATAAAATTCTTTTCAATAAATGGTATGAGAGGGCCAGCCCGGTGGCGCACTGCTACAGTGCGCCGCTTGGGAAGTGCGGCAGCGCTCCCGCCGAGGGTTCGGATCCCACATACAGACCAGCTGCTCACTGGCTGAGTGAGGTGTGGGAGCAACACCGAGGGTTGCGATCCCGTTGCCGGTCCCAGTCCGGTACGGGCGCGACACTGAGGGTTGCGATCCGTTGCCGGTCACGAAAAAAGACAAAAAGGAAAAAAAAAATAAAATAAAAAAATAAATGGTATGAGAGCAATCAAATATCTCTATGGATAAAAGAAAACAAAACTTCATTTTCATGTAATATACAAAACCTAATTTGAGACAGATCATAGGCCTAAATGTAAAATCTAAAACCATAAAGCTTACAGGAGAATGTTATCTGTACAGCCTGGGGGTAGGTAAGGTTTCTTATACAAGAAACAGAAAGTAATTATCATAAAATAAAATACTAATAAAATAGAATTTATTAAAATTAAAAACTCTATTAATCAAAAGATACCATAAAGAGTATAATTAGGTAAACTACAGACTGGAGAGGGGCCGGCCCAGTGGCGTACTGCTATAGTGCGCCGCTTGGGAAGCGCGGTGGCGCTCCCGCCGAGGGTTCGGATCCCACATACAGACCGGCTGCTCACTGGCTGAGCGAGGGGTGGGAGCAACACCGAGGGTTGCGATCCTGTGGCCGGTCCCGGTCCGGTACGGGCGCGACACTGAGGGTTGCGATCCGTTGCCGGGCACGAAAAAAGACAAAAAGGAAAAAAAAAACCAAAAAACTACAGACTGGAGAAATTATTTGTAAAATATATATCTGACAAAAGGACTTTATCCAGAACATATGAAGAATTCTTATAACTCAATAATAAAAAGACAAAAAAGAATAAAACAATGTGGATACAAGATGTAAAGAGCCACTCAACAGAGGAAGACATACAAATGGCCCATGAGCATAAGAAACACTGCTCAATATCATTAATCATCAGGAAGATACAAAATAAAATACCCACCGGAATAACTAAAACTAAAAAGATTTTAACACCAGTGTTGTCAATGAGCAATCAAAACTTTCTTACATTATTGATTTAATGTAAAAAGAACAAACAATTTGGGAAGGTCTGGAAGTTTTTTTTATAGAACTGAACATACACCTACCCTATGATCCAGAAATTCTACTCCTAGATACAACTCAAAAGAAATGAACACATATGTCTATAGAAAGACCTGTACAAGGCTGTTCATAGCTAAAAAACTGGAAATAACTGAAAAACATACCTATATGCTTAAAATTAGGAAGGTATCAAATCTTGGGGAAGAGGGAAAGAAAGTATAGTTTGAAAGAATCTCTCCAGGTGATTCTGATACACACCCCTACAAAGATATTCCATGTTTCAAATAACCAGCTTGCCAATGCTTTTGGGATATAATTTATATGGGAGCAGTTCCTGACGTGTACACATAGCTGGCCACAAGGGAGCATTTCTAATGCAGTACTATTCTGGGATTTTCAGAGTAGGCATGTAGGCGCAGGAGTGGGATGGTATTATGGCTGTTTCCCACATTTAGTACAAAACTGAAGAATTACATAGATATCACTCTGGTATCACTTTTATATGGTTTTCTCGGGCATCATCTTTACCTTTCCAAATACAATTTTATTTGACCAATGTTGGCATTTGTTTAAAGTGGCTAAACCCACACAGACTGCTAATGCCCAAGTGCTCAAAATGTGTGGTTAGAAGGTAGAATTTGCTACCATTACCCATAATTTACTGTCAGATAATCAAGAGCTAACTGTAACTACTCATCAAAATAGCTTCCAGTTACAGAGTCTACATATGTAATTTGTTAGAAATCATTTGCAATTAATGAAATTCCAAGTACACCATAAAATACTGTTAAAACCTTGATTTTTTTTAACGATCATCTAAAATATCACATAATTTTAAATTAGAAAATAATACATGTTTCATACACATACCCTATCAAAACACTAAAGTATGATTAGCATCTACAGGGAAGCAAAACAAATTTTGTGACTCTGGACTCAACTTATAGCTTTATTTGTGAAGGATATTAATATTTTTTTCAAATACTCGAAAATCTTATGCCTTCACAAGCGTACTTGAAACTTATGACTTTATATGCCAGGATGAGAACTATTAAACAGGATAAGAAACTATTAAAGCGTGTTCTTACACAAAATTAAAAGCATTTCCTACCTAATTTTAAGAGACACCATTAATGAACGCAGGCCCTCCTAACTGAAGTCAGCTACAAGGCTAGAGGAAACAGTCCAGGGCTGCGTCCCCCTCTGCCCGGGCCCCTGCCCCTGCTGGACACCAACGCCAGGGGCGCTTGCCATGTTCAAGGTGCAGCTCACGCTCTGTACCTCGCAGGCGGGAGGGCTTCATCTAAACTTATTTTCCATAGTTCATGCGATTAAGATGACGTATTTTTTTTTACCCCCAGGCATAAAGCTGTATTACACATGCTTTTTCAAGCGACCATTGCTGCCTGCTGCCCCCCAAAGATTCTGACATTCCTCCCTTCTTTGTGCTTGAGCATCTGCATGGAGAGGACAGAGCAGGTTTTAATGACCGAGTCCAGGGTGCTAGCATCCCGGCCCTGTGCTCTGCTGTGGAAGATACTAACATTTATAAAGCAAATGTATTTCACAGGGCCTAGCTTCAAGGCCCTGTAGTTTCAGGTACAGACTAACTTTTTAGAATTACACATAGAAATGTTAAGCTTGCGAAAGACAAAAAAACTTTCTCTGGGCTAAAGTCTCTGTTGTAGATAAAGAATTGTAATGCAGCAAAATTGCTGGCTCCAAGGGCAGATGCCCTTGGTGCAGCTAAACCTAATGATTGTTGCCATGACAATTATCTTACTGTTCTTTTAGTAACCACCTATGTTCCTTTTCTGTAATTTTCTGGCCTGGAGAATAAATACTGAGAGAAAACTGGAGTTTGGTGTTATTTTTCCGAGGAATGCTTCTCTCTTGAGGGTTCCTGGAAAATTAACTCCTTCGGGGCCTCTCACTGTTCAAAAGAAATGGGCTTTGAGTAATCCTTTGCATCTCCATCACCCTGGGGGAGAGGTGACACTCTGCCTGCCTGGGGTGGCAATCCGCAGGTGGGGGAGCCTCAGCAGTGGAGGCCTGGCCATGGTACCATGCCCCTTGAAGTGAAAGGGGATGGGGAGTTTGACTAACAGAAGCTTTCGGTTTTCAGCAGTTACCCATCTGCTTAGAACATAGAAGCATCCCTGTCTGCACCGCCAGTAGTACACTCACACATTACTGTTGGACATTTGTAACATTACAGACTTGTCTCTATGTCACTGAAGTTACAACTGCTCCCAACGTCTAGGAAGGGAGGCAGTTATTTGAATAGAGTTAATTTAAAAGCTGGGGTATTGTTAAGCAGGTGAATCATTAAGTTCTTCTGATTTTCAGACAGTATATTTCACTGGGTTTCACTTTTACCAAATATCATCCCTTTCTGAGTTGTTTTCTTGAATGTCCGTATCTGACTTTTACATTATTTGAATGTTTTTGGTGTTACTGTTGTAGGAGGATGAAAAAGTTCTGGGAAATTAGCTTAATCATGAAAGATAATTCCCTAAAATTTTTCTGAAGAATTTATTATAGTTAGTCATATAGGGAAAATAAAATTGATTCAGATATTAGTTCTTTTGTGATTTTCAATAGAAATATGAATTCTGCTCCATTAATCCAACCTATTTCTCCAAAACTAAGAGACTTTAACAAGATACTGTGTTGAATCATTGCTGTTCAAGTCATATACTTTTACTGATAAATGAGCAACAATCCCAAACATCAACTATTACAAATAAAAATGTACTAAATGAAAAATAAAGCCACAAAAGCAGCTTTGTTTGCTTTCAATTTACATGATAAATCTTAGTCTAGGACAGAAATCAATAGCATTTTTAATACTGTGCCCAAATATACCTAGAACCTACTAGAATTAATCAACGAAGGCACTGCCTATCTTCCTATAATGAAACAGATGTGTAAAAATTTGAGCACCACATGTATCTCTTGTAAATAATTTAATAACAAGTTTAAACACAAATTTAACCATCATCATCACAATCATCATCATTATCATTGTCATCCAGCAATAAAGGTTTATTCAAGCAAGAAAATAAAACGATGTGAAGACAAGAAAACATTTTGGTGGAAATACTGTCTTCTGCCTTACTGGATGCTCATACTCATTAGAATGAAAATCATCACTATCTTGTCATCTAGCTTTTTTAAGCACATGAACATAAACTCTGTTAAAACACACACACATACACTTGCAGCACTAACTACAGTGGTGATGAACAGTAAGATAAAGAGACTTTCTGTTTCTTTTGTAAAAATATTAATTCTAAAAGGCTTTCAATGTGCAATCAAATGGGCTTACCAAAATCAAACTGAAAACCTGGTGGCGAAAACTGCATCTCTGTCCACTGAATGCTTGTGACACAGACTGAGGCACTGACCTTATGTGCTTGCATGAGCATGTGGATGACACCCGGGGCACCGTGGCACCAGTGGACCAGTCGATCTGTTTCATTGCTTAATGATGACGGATAATTTCCAGATCGGAATTTTTTGTGGCGCACATAATCAATACTAGGTTTCACCATTTCTGTCAAGGTTTCTTGGTCCACATTTGCTGCTGGCTTTAAACAAACAAAAATAAAAGTTAATCTATTTTTTCTGAATTTTTTTTTTAAAACCATTGTATCATGGCTAATAAAGTGTCAATTACCTGGAATACTGAGGAGAATATAAAATTAGAATTAATTCAATTATCTGGTTATTTAAGACTTAGGTAAATCTTTCACTGTTTCAACTCTTTTTGAAATCTTTCTAAAATATATTAGTATTATAATGTATTAAACATATTTTATCTTTTCTCTGATAAATCAGGACCATCGACTTGAAGTAAACCATGCTACAGAGTAGCGAAGGAGACTAGACGGGACCTGGAGTGAGCCTAGGACTATAAAGGCTTTTGTTTTGTGCTTTTGCTTTGTTTAAATACTAATTTCCTCCCACGTAGCTCTTGGCTCCTGAAAAGTCAAGGGCCCCACTTCTCCCGAAACTATTTACTGGCTTTGTCACTTAGCCAAATGATTTAGCTCAGTTTCCTCCTCTCTAAAACAGGGTAATCACAGTACTTAACTCCTACGGCTGTTGTGAAGAGCAAATGAGAAAAAAGACAAACGCATGCTTCATTCCTTCATCCCGTAATTTGTGAGTAGTAAGTAATAGCTCTCACTGAAGGCCCTCATTAAATGTTCCCTCTTAGAATTTATTATCAAATTTGTGTTGAAGTTTTGCTATAGGACTAAGACTAAAAAACACATTTGGAAAATATTTACTAACTTTGAGGCACTGTTTTTTAAGAGAACTTAAATGAAAACATTCAAAAAGTCTCAAGTTAGTGTACAGATTGCCATGAAAAACAAGGTGAGATAATTAAACGTCTTCAGTGTGGCACATGAGGGAGCCCACACAGATCTGAATTACTGGTAACGTCTGGGGTAGAGAATCAGTCTCCAGCCATTGATTTAATTTTCATTTGTTTCTAGCAGCAGACGTCCAGAGGTGATATAAATTACACTTATAGCTTTGAAATGAAATATTGCTTTAAAATTCTCATTATTCTATTAAAGCCAAAGAAAACCTACAACATAACACTTTCTTCTACAAAATAAAATGAAAACCTCATTTTTTTTTTCTTGAATACATTTAGGTGTGAATTTTCTATATGGGATCCGAACCCATGGCCTTGGTGTTACCAGCACCACACTCTCCTGAGTGAGCCACGGGCTGGCCCGAAAACCTCATTTCTTTAATAAAAAGTTAATTTTGTTAAGCACGAAGAAGAGATAATTTAATGAATACCAATGTTTTTAAACTTCACTAAAGTAAAACTATTTCAATATTTTAAAAAAATATTTACTTATTAGAAAATCTTTAGGTGTTTTTCTTGACACACACTTAGATGATGTACTAGATTTTTTTTAAACCACAAGTCATGAAGTATATTTCCAAATATACTTGTACAGATACTGCACAGTTTAAAAAGTCAAAAAATGTTAAAGAGCTTATCACAAAGAACAACAGCCAGTAGTCCTTCCCAGGCCACAACTGAGCTTTTCCTTATTTTTTAGCTTTTTCTTCATACTACCTCAATATGCCCAAATAATCCATGCATGACTATGTCCTGATTACTAATTTTGGATGTCCCTTGTGGGCCTCCCTGTGTGGCAGATGAGGACACTTTCCCTCCTCTAATCTTCCCAGAGAATTAGATTCTGATCACCATTTTTGGTTACATCCACATTCACTGTGTTCTTTATAGGAAAGACTATGCAAATACTGTTTGTTGCTGAGATAAGAAATAAACTAAATTACATACAAGTATATTCTTTTATAACTTAGAAATCCTGGAGTTACTGTCTCACGTTTCCATCTGCTTCATTTTCTTTGAGCTGCTACCTAAGCTCTGTCACACCCACCAACAGATTTGTAAAGCCTAAGAAGTCTCTCAATAAGATTTTCCACGTAGTCAAGTCTACCATGATTTTTTTTTTTCCCATGGAGGTACTGCTCCATTCTCTGACTCCAGCCTTAATCGATTACTTGCTAGGTCCTCTGTGCAATGGTTCTTGGGGGTTCCATTCTCCTCCCTCTCACACTGGGCCCCCTTTTCCTGGAGCTGATGTCTTCCTCTCTCTCAGTGTACTCCTCTGTTTGGATAGATACCATACTCCCATAGCTTCCCAAGCCAGGGTGCAGGGGAATTACATTTTTTGAGACTGGATGTTTAAAATTGTCTTTGTTCTACCTCATATTTAACTGATAAATTCCTGGGAAGAACTCAATGGTGGAAATCACTTCTACCCAGAACTGGGAAGGCATTTCCATTTATCTTTTAGCTTCAATAGAACTGTTGCAAAGTCAATGCCACTTTGACTCCCAACCTTTGCACACACCTGTTTTTCCTCTCTGAAGTGTTTAGCATTGGCTCTTTATGCCTTCGTCTTCGGCTTTCTCAATGATGGGCACATGTGTATTTGTTTGGGTTTTCCCCATTCATTGTGCAGGTACTTGGTAAGTCTTTTCAACATGGCAACTCAGGTCCCTTAGTTTTAGAACATATTCTGTTATTATTATTTTTCTTAAAATTTCCTTCCTACCATTTTGTGTTCTCTCTTACTAGATCTCCTGTTAGTCAGATGTTGGATCTCTTGAATTAATCCTCTTATTTTCTTATATTTTCCTCTCCCATTGTTGATTTGTTTGCTTTCTAAGATATTTGACTTTGATTTCCATTTCCATAAATTTTTAAAAAATTCAGCCATCCTATTTTTAATTTTCAAGAGCTCTTTCTTGTTCCTCAAGTGTTTATTTCTTGGATGCAACAGCTTGTCCTATTTCCCTGAGGATATTGATTATTAATTAATAACTGTTTCTTTGAAGTTTTTTTGCATCCTAGATTACTTCTGTTTTCTCTGAATTTCTTTTTCCTACTTACTTAGTTCTCTATCTTTGAAGTTGGATGCTTCCCTCAAATGTCTGCATGTTTCACTTTCCACAACAATACACAAAGACAACTAATTACCAGAAAAGGAGGTTTTGTCCCGTGCAGACATGAAATTCCTATTTTCCTTTTGTGAGTAGCAGCATGATGTAGTAGGTTAAAAAAAAAAAAGGAATTGGAAGTAAAACATTTTTTAAGAAGAATATATTGGTTTTTCAGTTGAAGATATCTAAATTCTAATCCATGCTCCTGGACTTACCAGCTTTGTGATTTTGTAGATTTTGTAGAATAAAGAAAAAAAAATTTTTTTTTTTTAAAGGAGACTATGTACTCAGCAGGGAAGGCTAGAAGCCAAGGTTGAAGCGATGGTTGGGGTGCGGTCTCTGCCTGCTTGACAAGAGAGTCAGAATCTAATTAAGTAGGTATTAGTGATACTAGATAATGACCAAGAGACAAGATCATTATCACAGCAATAAACTTGTTAAAAATTTAGAACGTAACCAATAGCAAGTTGAGGGTATCTGAATATGACAAAGTCTCTGCCTCAGTCTGGATTCTTGAGGTACTTTTTCTCCCTGAAAGTTTTCCCCCATTTAAAGAGCTCCTGCTTCAATCAGCAGGAGGACAAGAACAGAAGAAAAGTCTGGGCAACAGACAGCTGAAAACCACACACAGAATGTACTTTTAGGAACCCACTGCTTAGGGTTCATGAGGCAGATTTTTAAGTATCTGTGATTCAAAGTAAGATCCTCGTTTCAATTCAGTCTGGCTGGTTTACACTAAGAATTTCACTTCCCATCCAATATTTGACCTATCATGTTGTATTTCAGGGTATTCTCACTTACCTGCATTAACATGTAGTAGATTCCAGCCATGCCATGGGCTGCTCCGACATACTGCTTCCTGTGCCATTGATATAACAGGGGGCAGCGCTCAGTTTTTCTCTCTTCCCTTGACAGAGTCTTACCAGATTCAATAATAGCATTGACTACCTACAGAGATGAGACAACATGAATCTAAAAAACTTACATACATCTTGTTCTGTCTAATTAACACTAATACATGTTTATATTATATATATACACATATAAACACAGAGAGAGAAATTACTTAATCTAAAAATCTTTAAGCAGTTAGTAGCTAACATAGTTATTTTTATTTTATAAATTAATAAATGCAGGCAGAGAGAAATCAGAAGATAATGTCAGCATAGAAAAAAAAATTAAGTCAAACGAAGAAATCAAAAGTTCTTTGCATGACAACGTCACTAAAATCTAGAAAAATTTCTATAAAAACCGTTCTAGACTTCTTAGTTGCTTACAAGTAGTTACAAGGTTTTCCCCAAAAGATGGGCTAGTAGATTTTCCAGGAAAGGCTGGGGGAACTGGCTTTATTACTGAATGGCTAATAAAATGAGGCCTGTTTGTGGCATGATGGATTTTGGTTAGATCAAAAGAATAACACGTCTGGAATGACATGTGACAAAGATACAATTGTTTCCTCCTACCCTTTCTCCTCTCATCCTATCTGTAAGGTCCTCCAGGTTCTAGCTGGGCAGCTGGCCTTCTCACTAGAGACAGCTGGACACAGTCATTTGACTAAGTTCTGACAACAGGAAGTGGGCAACTTGTAGATGGAGTCTTTAAAAAGGAAGCTCCTCTTGCCCTCTTCTACGGGAGGTGGTGCTAAATTAGCTGCGGTCATGTGGCTAGGGTGCACCCTAGGACAGGACAAGACAGAGAGTGGGTTCCCCTGGACTGCTTGTGCAGACATCTCATGAAGAGAAATCAACATTCTAACTTTTGGAAGCTGCTGTTATTTGGTTCCAGTAAAAACAGCTGCATCAATAAAGGATGAAGAACAGCATAGATTTTTAAAAAAATGTTCCCAGAAAGAAAAACAGGGACTATTTTTTAATTTTTATGTGATGCTTTAAAAAATCAATCACTATAACTCTATGCAAGACAGGTTTACATGGCAGGACGAGTGTATGCCCACAGTTGTAAGTAATCCCACAATACCTCTTTAATAGCTGATTCACACACGGTCCCTGGACCAATCTCCGTGTTTAGGTATAGTAAGGCATACAGATAACCCGCCCGTCCATAAAGCAGCTCATCAGGAAGGTCTGAATCTTGGCACACAACGGTTCTCTGGAGCTGCAAAAGTCTAACCAACAAGAAAAATTCTTTTTTTTCTTAGAGAATGTTTAAAATACCTCTTCATGAAACAGTAATTCTATTACTTTAGGAATTATCTGATAGTCATTTTAAATTTAAAGCTACAATTTTAAATAAATACCCCAAAACCCAGAGAACAATAAACTTCCCCACTTCACTAATTCCTCTCTCAATGTCAAAATGAAGAATAGAACATCTTTCTGCTAAAATTTTTACATTTATATCTATTCTAAAGTATGTAGCAGAAGATAGTTCATTTTGAAATCCTGAATTAAAAGAAAGTGATCTAGAATCTAAATAAAAATGGCAACGAAATGTATTCAAAGCTTGGGAATTAGCTTGAATCACTGTTTTTCAGCAAACATTAACTGACTAGCATGTGTCGGGTTCTCTATCAGATCCGAGGAGTGAGCCTGGTTTCTGCTTCTTCAAGAAAGAATATAAACCAATAGGTCCAATAAGTGCTTATATTCCCTAATTGTTCCATCACTACATAGCTAATCAGTTACTTAAAGGTTAAACCTAATACTAATTTAGTTATTGTAGTAGATCTATGGCATTGTAAGCTAATTTCCATGCATTGAAGGCAACCAAAAATTCCCTAGAAAAATGATTAAAATAACTCAATGAAACATGTTTATTTCCCCCAAATTAAGGCACACACATGCCTGGATAGAGAGAAGCATTTGATCCCTGTTACGCTGAATATTAATATACAAACCTCTTCACTTCTCAGCGAGGGTCTGTTTGCAATAGAAGATGAATTAAAAAGTAATTTCCTTTTTGAATATCTTTCTATAGCAAGAACTTCAGCTGCGAATTTGGAGAACAGGTTTCCAGTTTTAAACACTCACTTTGTGATGCATTCCCGGGACTCAGAATCACTGTTGAGTTTATGATATATCACAGCTCCTACAGCAAGCGGCCCAGCATCTCCACAGAGGAAGGTGACCCTGCGGCCATTCAGGTTCCGAAGCGTTCTCTTCACGTAATCCAGGGATCGCAGCAAATAAGTCTGGTCACATGTGACCCGGTACAACTGCAGGTACAAAAGGGCTATGCCTAGAATAATCCCCCCACCCCAGAAGAAAAGCATTATTACCTTTCCTTTTTATCTTCAGGACATTATTTTGTAATTACATAATAACTTCTTCTACATAAACCCTATGTTTACAAAGGAGCAACATCAAAAAAATTACACATCATTCATTACTTAAAAATAAAAAACCCCACCAAGACAGAAAAGTCAGGGTGGAAAAAAACATGAAACAAGTTTAAACATATTATCTCTGTAATCACTGGCACAGTGATTCAGTAATACTTCTTACTCTTCGACAAGAGAAGACATACCATTTCCTACTCATTCTCAATTAATTTTCTTTCATTTCCAGGTTATATTCATTTTCCTTTTTATCTTAAGCTAACTTGGGTCCTAACAAAATGATTACTTTTCTGGATTTTATATCCTCTTCTTCCTAATTCTATTTTCTTAATTCTTCCCATTTCTGTTTCACAATATTTCAATTTTCTTTGGCGACCATCCTTCCTATCCAGTTAACTAACCAACCAGTGAGTCAATTCACCACTTATGGAATAGCCACATGATGCAGAGTAAGGTATCCAGTACGGAGGGTATAGTTTATCACCCACCCAACCTTCCTATTTTAGATTAAGGGACAGAACCAGTCAGATCTTCAAATGAACCATTAGGGTCTTTGTCTGAACATCTTTGGAGAATGACCTCTATGGCTTCTTAAACATGCACAGTATTTTTCTTGGATTCAGGAAGTCAACATGACAGCTAAGTAAGAAATGAGTCAATATAAATATATACTTAATAAAGTATATTGTAACAAACAGTAGTGACAGAGATAATATGATAGTGGAAAAGCCAAGGAAAGCATTTCTATAAGGCTGAATATCCTATTCTGACTTTTGCTTTTTAAATTTCTCTAAATATCTAGTGCTTCTTTCTCCAATTCTTCTGTTCAGGACATCCCACTTCTTTTTCAAACTAATTCTTAACACCGTAAAAAAAAAATTTTTTTTTTGAGAAGTCCTTCTTTTATTATTACCCATTTCTTTAAAGATGTTGAGTCTGATCTAAAAGTAGCAAATTTAGGGCCGAGCCCATGGCGCACTTGGGAGAATGCGGCGCTGGGAGCACAGCAGCACTCCCGCCGCAGGTTCGGATCCTATATAGGGATGACCGGTGCACTCACAGTGCTCACTGGCTGAGCGCAGTGCGGCCGGTCTCAAAAAGGACAAAAAAATAAAAAAATAAAAGTAGCAAATTTAGAAGCTCTGAAAAAACTCTTCTTGTGTGAATTGCATATCATCTTGAGTGCACATTTTCTTTGTTCAAAAAATTTAACTGGCCAGCCGCCAAAAAAAGGAAAAAAAGTAAACTATAAACATGTAGAAAACATAGATAAGTATCTGTAAATTTCAAACATAATAATCAGTACAAAAGCTTTACGAGTAAGTACTCTGATTGACTCAGAAACCTTTAAAAACAGGATGCTGATCTGCTTAACCTGTGAACCTCAAAATCTACAGTTATACATATTTAATGCTTAAGTATTTTAAAGTAAATGACGACGGATAAAGTAAAAAAAAAAAAAGGTCGTCATGCTTCATAATTCTTTGAAGGGCAGACATGTGCTCGCTAAAAGGAACTGTGGAAATAGGCCTTTAGGGATGTGATGGTAAAGTGCTGGGGGAGGGAAGCAGTCTACAGTGCTAGGGTTAGGTCTCAGTCTTTGGTGAGTCTGTGCCCCTGGACTTGGACCTCACCAGAGCCCCTCATCTCCCACTTTTGGTGGGCTCGCAGGCTACAGGGAGCTGCAACTGGTCATCTCCCTTCCCCAGTGCTGAAGGCCTAGCCAGCTGGAGTTGGGTATTTCCTTTACCCCAGGTAGGTTAGGCCCTGGTAAAACCCCAGCAGGTTTGGATCTGGTAAAATAGTTTCTTCTGAGGGCAGGCCTCCTTAAGAACAGAATGTTCCGATGTATTTCAAAATGGTTTCTTTTCCTCTCCCACTTCAAGAAGCACAGGGGACTTTTCTCTGATATTCACTGAGAGTACCGACTAGGGCTCCTGGAGGTAAAACTCACAGGAGTGGGGGAGCCCTCCTATAACTGGGTTTCCCTGGAGTTTTCATCTCTCAGACTTGTCCACACTGAGCCTGTAGCACTGCAATCGCAGTTCAGGTTCTCCTCCCCTGGCACCAGTTTCTGCAGAGGTTTCTGTCCCCATGATTTGTAACTATGTGCATGCCCCGTTGGTCTCTCCAATTTTTGGTGCAGCAATTTGCCCTGTCACCTCCCTTCTCTGACCCATCTTAGAAGAGACTGATTGTTGATTGGCGTGGTCCACACCATGGCGGGGTCTTGAAAAGAATAGCCTGGGCTGCCCTTTCCGAGTTGGCAAGGCCCCAGAGGGAGAGCTGCTGGCAGGGCCACGGCTACCAGCACTTGCTTTCACTGTAAAGATCTCTGCCTCGGCACAGTGGTGCTGCCTTTGCTTTCTCTTTTGATGTTTTGGTCAGCATGGCAGTTTCCTGAGTTTGCAAAAAATGACAAACAGTTGTTGTCATAAAATTAGATTATCCCACAAAAGATCCGGGAAGATTGAACAATTCCAAATTGTCCCTTTTGCTCAGGAGCTGAACCCTGCCAACAACCACATGAGCGTAATAACTTCGTATAGCATACATTATACGAAGTTATACGAAAATGGGAAAAGGAAAAATTTGGTACCCTCCTAGGGGAGGTCCTAAATATGACTTAAGTTGGCAAACGTCATTTACAGGGGATTACATTAATGGTAAGAGAATGGTTAGAATCAATGGAAAAAGATACTATAGGAAGAATTAAGTTTATGAGAAAGAATGTGTAGAAACCCTGTTACTCATTGGTGTCCTAAGTTAAATAAAAACATCTTAGTAAGATATTGGGACCAAAACATATGATGCACAACTTTCCCTCCTAAAAATAAAGATTATAGACGGAATTTTGAATGCACCTGGTTTTGTGAGGGATGGTGCTGTGCACTTTGACACTTTATGCTGGGCCACACAGCCGCTATATTAAGTACATGCATGATAAAGCTGTTCAAATATCCTTTATTCCTTTTCCAAATAAACAATAGGTTCATGCCTATAGAAATATGAGAATCATTAAATTAAAGTTAAAAATATATATAAGGTTTGTTTAACACTTTGAAACTGCAATTGCTGCCGTCTCAATTTTGAGTCAGACATATAATTTACGCTTGCTGGTAGTAATAAGTTTAAGGTTAATACGAGGACAAGAAAAAAAAAGAAACACAATGGTGAAAAACGTCAAGAACAGCGAGTCACGGACTAATCGACCACAACAAATATAATCACCAGAAAGAATTGGCTGACCACTGAGTTTTATTTAACCTTATGGATTATAAATTTTATGAGAACTGACGTAATTTTAAGAAAAGTTTCCGTTTAACTATTGGTTTAATAATTTTTAAAGGTTTATGTAGTTAAAATGCCCACATTAACTCCCCTGTGTTGTGTAACAAATAAAAATGCTGTTTTCAATCTAAAGGCTGCTTCAGCTGCTTTAGCTGCTTTGGCTGCGACAGCACTGACAGCCCGCAGGCTGAGAACGTGCTTCAGAGGAACCGAGGTCTCTGCCTGTGTTTGTTATTTTCGCCAGCTTCTTCATCCCTCTTTCAAGGACCCCCAAATCGACTGAAGCTGGTCTCCGGCAGTTGATTTTTCAGTGGGTTCAGGTTTTTACTTGTTGTTAGGCTGAAGTAGCGACTTCTAAACTCTTTATATGATAGATTGGAAATGGGAGTCTCTCTACAACTTATTTAGCTTTCTTTTTTTTTTTTTAAGTTTTTGTTTCCTTAGTGGTTTGATTTAGTCATTCATTTATTCAGCAAATACTTATTGAAACTTTGCAGACAGTGAGGACACTTTGCTTTTTCGGAGTCAGTTCTTTCTTCAGCTCCTCATACTTTGGTCCTCATTTCTGAAATGACTTTGTTTTTTCCTTCAAATTCTTTTCTTAGTTCTGTCCATTCTTATTTCACAAGCTCTGGCTGGCATTCTCTTCTCCAAGTTCCTTTAATTCTGCTTTGTGAACTTACTGCTTAATTAAATTATAAAATTAATGTCAAAAGTACTACCAAATCTTCTCCACATTAAAGTAACATTTTCCTAGTGTATTTTCTCTTTCTGAGATAGGAAGTGCTCAGTTTCCCTGGGCTCAGGTTTCAGGACACATCTCTGGGTTTCAAGCCATTCCCCAGGGTTTCAGGCTCTTCCTGTAGGCCTGCTCTAGAGGAAAGTTACTGTAACTTGTTAGACCTATTTTCAGCACCAACACAGGGATATTGAGACCTAGGGGTTGGCTTATGCAAATCCAGTGGCTGGGCATGCTCAGTAGAGAAGGGTTAGCTGGTAGCTGAATGACCTCTCACTTGGGGTATGAAAGAGCACAGAATATTCTTGAATGTTTTTGGTGCGTGTGATAGGATTTGACAATGAACATGCTCCAAGAAGAGACCAAACATACATGTGCAAGACTAATGTTACATAACTGGGAACCACCCCTTAATTGAATAATCATTAGATAGAAAAAATGTAAAAGCTGAATCCTGGCAGAAGGTGGGGTTGTTACTCACTTTCCTAGGGCCAGCCTGCACTTCGCTGGCTGAGGTGTGTACGCTTTACTTTGTATGAAGCTCATTTTTAGCAGATGGCTGCTCACTCTCTTGAGCCAGCCTGCACTCTGTACTGAACTTTAAGTGTGCATTTCTTTTTTTTGTCTTTTTTACTGACCAGTAACAGGATCGCAACCCTTGGTGTCGCGCCCGTACCGGGGACCGGCAACGGGATCGCAACCCTCGGTGTTGCGCCCGCACCGCGCTCAGCCAGTGAGTGGGAACTGGTCTCCACATGGGATCCGAACCCTCGACAGGAGCACCGCCGCGCTCCCAAGCGGCGCACTCTCCAGTGCACCACCGGGCCGGCCCTAAGTGTGCATTTCTTACATTTGTATTAAACTTGGAGTGGGCCCTGCTCAGTCTCTAGAGCTAGGTTGCACTCTCTCTGTGAAATCGGTATCACTTATTCATCATATTAAGTCTGTTCTCACTTTTTACTGTGACTCTGCTCTTGAATTCTTTCCATGGTGGAGTCATGAACCTGGTAAGAGGATGTGGGTTGAGGCCAACTATCGGGCCCCCCAGACCCTTCCTCCAGCATTACTTCCATATTCTTACCCGTCCAACCAGTGTAAGCTGAGCAGTCATGGGGATCAGCTGTCTTCAGCCCTTCTTCCATCTGCTGTAGAAGATCTTTGATTTTGGTCTGGATCCGCTTTATGAAGTCATGGATGATCTGAGAACCAAACAAAGAGACAACTTTTAATTGCACAAGAATAGGACAATGCTGTAATAAATACTTTAACTGCATACAGACAGAAGTTATTTCACCTGGCCCATCTCAGTGTTCCACGGTTGAAGTCTATCTTGGCTTTTATAAGTTTAGTTTTTCAATGAGATAATGTCCTATATTATCTCTAATATATACTAAAACTAATATATACTAAAACTCACAAGTAGAATCATGAAAATAATTTGCAGAAACTGAAGAGAAAAACCAGAAAAGAAAAGATAGATCTGACCGCACATTTTAATTCAATAAGGTAAAGAACATAAGATAGTTTAAAGGTTAATGACAAAGGGTAAATACTTGTAACGTAAGATACCATAAATCAAAAAAAGAACATAACAATACAGAAATAGACCCAAAAATATTATTGTATTTCATATAAAAGAAAAATCAAATGATAAGCATATGTAAAAATATTCAATCACTTAGTGATTAATGAAATGTAAATAAAAACCAATACCATGGTTTTCCTAACAGATTAACAAAGAATAAAAATTTTTAAAAATATTAAGCCCCAAAGCTGCTTAGAGCAAAGAAAGCAGGTATTCTTACTCGTTGCTGGTAGTCTATCCCAAAAGAAATTTGCAATATTCTTAAATATGTAGTTGATAGTGTTGTTAAGATCATTTCTGCCTTTGCTCATTTTAAAAGTTCTAGTTGCTATATCAATTACTGAGGGGTATTAAAAATCTCTGACTATGATTGTAAAATTGTTTATTTCTCCCTTTAATTCTTTTTCTTTTTTTGTGATCTTGTGTATTTTGAAGTTCTGTTACAAGGCACAGACTAACTCAGGACTGTATGTCTTCCTGACAAATTGACTCATTTTCATAATGAAACGTCCCTCTGTGGGACTGTAGACAAAATGCTTTTATGTTCTGCACATTAGGGTTTTCAGCACAAACCTGACTATAATTTGGAATTTTGGACTAAAAGTAAACCTGAGGAATTAATTTCCAACACTATACACAGTGAGAACTCCAGGGAGGCTTACTTAACCCTGGAGGTAGATGTTTACATTTCAAAAGGAGATGAGGCCCTGGAACAGGGCGACACTTCTGATTTATAAACTGAAGAAAACGGGCTTATCTGTTCCAGACAGAGATTTACGCACCTTCCAGAGGGTTAGAGTAGGATGATTCCCATGAGACTCTTTCAGAAGGGAAAGGGTGACAACTGCTTCTTCCCCTTTACAAAAAGCACAGAGAGCTTATTTTTCTTCCTTCCCTCCTTGTCTACAACACACACGTTGTGTATGTGGGACGGGTGACCCTGCCTTCACTCCCCCCCACCCACCAGGTAAGGGCTAGGACACAGGGAACCACCCTGCTTATTTGCTGACAGGTAAATAACAAGAAATCCCTGATCCAAAAACCACTTGCATACACCAAGGACAAAATTCTTTATCTTCCTGTCACAGAATCTATCCCACATGGGACGAATGAAGTCCCCTCAGCTCTCTGATGTCTGCTGAGCCTGGTCTGCCGTGTGCTCACTTGCTACCTCTGTCTTTATGTTTAAAGTGCGTCTCCTGTACAGCACGTGGGTAGGTATGTTTTGTTTATTTTTTGTTAATTCATTCTGGTAGTCTTACTTGGAGTATTTAGTTCTCTGATTTTAAATGCAACTATTGATAGAGTTGGTACTGAATCTACCACTTTGCTGTTTTCTCCTTGTTTTCTCTGTTCCTCTCTTCTCCCTTTCTTGCCTCTCCCACCACATTTTTGGAGTATTTGAATATATTTAAAAAGTGCATTTTAACTCTCCTGCTGAGCTTTTAGCTATATTTCTTTGCATTATATTTTAGTGGTTGCTCTTTATCTTCACCTTGATTTGGGCTTCTTTGTGTTCATTCTGCTTGGTATTTGTTGGGCATTTTGTATCTATAAATTTGTTTTTCATTGACTTTGTAAAGTTCTTAACCATTATCTCTTCAAATATTTTTTTTTCTGCTCCATTCTTCCTCTGCTCTCCTTCTATGATTCCAGTTACACATATGTTAGATAGTTTGATAATGTTAAACCAGAAATCTGCTCTAACTGAGATCAGCTAAATTCCTAACGGCCCTGGGGAATCTTGAATGGGGCAACAGCCATGTCCACACATTCTGGAACTACTGCCACAAAACTACTTTTAACCTGCCACCAGGCTTTCCAATTCCTAAAGAAGTATTAATGAGGGATGCTGAAAATGTATCTCATGATCCTCACTCATACATCCGGACCTAGGATGCAACGGAGAACCAATCACTAACCTATGTGATGCTGTGTAACCAACAGGAGACCTAATGCACTGATGAAGCGGCTGTTCCCTTTTCTCTCCTTTGTTCTTCACTTTTCTGTGACTGTAAAAATACTGAAGTCCAGCTGACCCTTTGGAAAGCACTTCCCAAGGCCACTTGGTGGTATTTTCCTATGCCACGGTCACACATATTGGCTAAAATAATTTTTTTTTATATTTTATCAGTGCCTTGGGATTTTTTTTGCAGGTTGACAACTATAATCTAACAGGTTCCTAAAACCCTGTTATTCTTTTATTCCCTTCAATCTTTTTTCTGTTTTTCACACTGCATAATTTCTATTGATCTATTTTCTTTTTTCTTTTTGTCTTTTTTCGTGTCCGGCAACGGATCGCCACCCTCAGTGTCGCGCCCGTACGGGACCGGGACCGGCAACGGGATCGCAACCCTCGGTGCTGCGCCCGCAACTCGCTCAGCCAGTGAGCGGGAACCGGTCTGTATGTGGGATCCGAACCCTCGGCGGGAGCGCCACCGCGCTCCCAAGCAGCGCACTGTAGCAGTGCGCCATCGGGCCGGCCCCCTATTGATCTATTTTCAAGATCATTCACTCTTTCCTCTGTCATCTCCATTCACCTGCTAAGTCTATCCAGTGACTATTTTTTTTTTTATTGAGACATAACTGATTATACATATCTGTGGGGTACAGAATTGAATATCAATACCTATGTACAATATGTGATGATCAAATTCCAGTGACTTAACTTCAGAGATATTTATCAGTTCTAGAATATTCATAAGATTCTTTTTTTATGGTTTCTATTTCTCTGCTGAGAGTTCCTATTTTTTCATTCATTAAAAGCATATTTTGTTTTACTTCATGGAGGATAGCTATAGTAGTCACTTTAAAACCCTTGTCTGCTAGTTTCACTATCTGGTTCATTTCAGGGTTGAACCCAGCTAATTTTCTTTTCTATTGAACACGTTTCTGTTGCAGGAGAATAGATTATAGCATCCCATAATATTGCCTTTTTGACATAAGGACTATTTTGAGCTGTGGGCAACTGAGGAGAAGCAGATACAAGGAAAGCTTCCTGCCCTTCCCCATTTGCTTAGAAGCAGAGCATAGATTTACAAAGGTGTCTGTCCTCCCCTCTCAACCAGTGAAGACAACTCTACACCTGAATCAGCCAAAGAAAGCATCAGAGGAATCCACATAACAAACTCCTATTTATTTGCCTTTCCAGGATACCCACACATAGCTCAAAGTCCTTTTCCATTGTCTTGCCAGTTTTCTAAAAGTGTTACTGTTCTTTGTTGAAGAGGCCTTACAAACCAGATTTCTGAACCATCTCTTTGAGACTGGCTATCTTCCAAGAAATATACATGTTACTAAACTTGTTTTTCTTTTGTTAATCTGCCTTTTGAACAGGGGTCTGTCCAGCTAAGAACTCTGAAGGGTACAGAGAAAATTATTTTTCTCCCCTATACTATTTTCTCGGTTCTTCATATATCAGTAATTTTGTACTGAATCTGGAATTCTAATTTGTAGACTGCTACCTTGCTTGTATTGAATTGCAAATTGTTTCTTGGGCAGCAGCTCTGATCTCAGTTCAGACATGCTGTCTTTAGCTGAGCTTCTTTGAGTCTGTTCCAGGCATGCATAGTTCAAAATTTGGTTAGATACACATTTAGGTAAAATTTGAGGATCCTTTCTCTGGCTCATCTCTCTTCCCCATTGTCTTTAAAAGCCACGGGTACCCAGTCCTCTAGTCCCCCTACTGCCACTGTGTGCACCATGTAAATGGCACTTAGCTCCAGGATAAAAGATATGGAGATGGGGACTTACTTCACAGGACTCTCCCCCAATCACATTCTACAGAACTTGGACGTCATGCAATTCTATACACAACCATATACTGTAGAACTGGGATGTAATACCAAAAAGCAACTACACTCTGGTCTGCTCATTCTCCAGTGATTTTGAGTAGTGGCTTTTTATATTATATACAAGTTCTACAGTCATTTTCTACAGGAAGTCCTCCAGTAGGGCCCATCATTACTGGCAGTAAAAGTCTGTTAAAATTACTTTTTAAGTTAAAAAATATTTCCAGTATATGCACCTTCTTGTGTACCCAGCTGCACTTAATACTTTTAAAACCTCCATCCCTGCCCACATTTTTAAGCCATTGTAAGTAACAGCTGAGCATTCAGAGATGGGTATATCCATTTTAAGATCACCAATTATATCAAAGAGAACTTAAATGGGCATATTTGCAAGTATATATTTCTGTTATAATACGGGTGTTGATATGATTTTTCCCCCTTAACATTATATGTATTTACTTGCCCAAGATTATAATGGGCAGGCTAGACAATGGATTCTATTAAGTGGCTAAAACACAGCAAATGTGCTTACTTAAATAAAATGATAAAGATAGCACACTAATGAATGCAGTATCAATGATATTCCACCCATCTCAAGGTGATGTAGCAGGTACTATACAGTTTCATTCTCCCAATCTTTGCTTACTAGCAATGCTTTCTGGACTTACTCCCTACAGTTGTGATGATGTGCTTACAAATGTATTTCACTTTGCTGCTGTTAATGAATGTGCCCAAAAGAATAACTGTCTGATTCTCCATCCAACTGCTTAATAACTTTTGACTCCAAGTTAGTAATTTAAGCCTCCTGAGTCTTGCCCTTTGG